GTCAAAGGCCTTGCTGAAGTCCAGGTAGACAACATCCACAGCCTTTCCCTCATCCACTAAGTGGGTCACCTTGTCATAGAAGGAGATCAGGTTAGTCAAGCAGGACCTGCCTTTCATAAACCCATGCTGACTGGGCCTGATTGATAACCTGGTTGTCCTGTATGTGCCGTGTGATGGCACTCAAGATGAGCTGCCCCATAACCTTCTTCGGCACTGAGGTCAGGCTGACAGGCCTGTAGTTCCCCGGATCCTCCTTCTGGCCCTTCTTGTAGATGGATGTCACATTTGCTAACCAGTCAACTGGGACCTTCCCTGTTAGCCAGGACTGCTGATAAATGATGGAAAGTGGCTTGGTGAGCACTTCTGCCAGCTCCCTCAGTACCCTTGGGTGGATCCCATCCGGCCCCATAGACTTGTGTGTGTCTAAGTGGTGTAGCAGGTTGCTAACCATTTCCCCTTGGATCATGGGGGGAAATGTGTTATCTCCCTTCTGGAGATGCAGACATTGATGAGTCATTCCTATTCAAGATTGTGTCATTGCAGGAGCAATATAATGGGAGGCAACAGACTGGCAGTGAAGAAAAGCCATGTCTGTCACAAATCGCCTGTGTGGAGGATGCTCAGGCTTGTCTTCCGGACGTGTTCCAGTTCGGCCTCATTTAGGTTTTGCTGCCTGTTGAACAGGCTGCAGAGCGGACTGAGACGCCTGCGTTCATTGTTCCATGTTTCATCTGTGCTGTTTCTTGAAGGCTACAGTTGAGGAAGGTTTTGCCAAAACATGCAAGCTGAATCAGTCAACTTTCTGAATGATGCCCAAATAATTTTTTTTTTTTGAGAGAGATTGATTTCATTGTCTTCTAGGTGAAACTGGAATTTTTGGTGGGAGAATTTTAACTATGCATTATTTTAATCCATTTGATGGAAAAACATTGTATCTGTGTATGAGCTCCCATACCAGAACGTGTAGCTTTCACAGGCAGAGTGACTTACATGGACATGTTTCTCCAGGGATTACAAGCCACTAAGCGTTGACAAGAAGCAAAGGAAATGGGGTCTTCTCAGTTACCAACCTTCTCTAAAAGAGAGAACCCCAGCATACGGACGGCAAATGAAAGACAATGGTATAGTTCATGAGACTCCCGTTTTCTGTTAGGAGCAGTTGCTGTGTTGTGTATTTGAGAAGCCTTCCTCTGCCCTTGCTTTGGAAGCTGTTCCTTTTGTTCAGATGAAACCTGCTACGGACATGTGTGTGCAGGTTTTGTTGCCGGGGCAGGGCACAGAGTAAGAGGAGTGTATGTTTTTTGTGCTGCTTTTGCTGTGATACACTGGATATTTCAGACGGTGGTGAAAAATGTGGTTTTCATATATGGAACAAGATGATTTCATCAACGGTTCTGGAGTGAGCTTTATGATGATGAAATTCTGTGTCTGTGTCACAGTTCACTGCAATAATCACGCCATAATTTAGAAATTCAGGAGTTGAATACCTTAGATGACATACTGATTGCAGAGAAGTGAATGGAAAAAAATTAATTGCCTCAGATCCAAGATTTCAGAGTAAATGAGCAGAAGAATGTAAATGCAAAGAGGCGTAATATCTCAGTATTGTTCCTGAAAAGACCGACTTCTACTAATAAAGCCAAAAGTGACAATAATGGTGATTAGAAGCCAAAAGAGAGAGTAGCATCGTTAGGAGCATGACACCAGGAGCAGTCAGGGAGAGAAACCTGTAATTGGTGTTTCTGCGCAGGCCAGAGCAAATGCTAATTTAAATAGTTCCCTCTTTAGAAATGATTGAAGTAAGCAAGCAGTAATTTGATGGCACACAGAATGTGATGGCATATTTTAGAAATACTGCTTGAATGTAGCACCATCTACTGGCTCCAGGGTTTTTTCACTGCGCTTTTTTGGTTTTGTTTTTAAGAAAAATAATTTAAATCACAGTATTTTTAGTGAGTTTAAAAGTGAATTTTCTAGTAGTTATTTTAAAGTAGAACAGTCTCAGAATGTATTATTAATGACAGCCCGTGTCCCCAAATTATTATTTCCACAGTTCTACGTACATTTACTAAAAGAGCTGTCAGTGTTTCTTGTCTTTTGTTTGTTTCCCACTCACTGGAGGGTTGAACATACTAGTTACAGCATGCAATTTTTGGAGCTAGATGTCTGTTCCTGTGAAAAGCTAGTTACGCATGCAGCTCAAAGGTCAAGAAAAACGATGCAGAACAGGTTACCTCCCTTATTTATTGGAGCTAACTGTAACACCTTATGTAGATGCTCTGCTTTTCACTAAAAACAACTGGAAAAATTGTAGGGGTGGTGCACTGGTTGCGGTTTTGATATTCTATCTTTTTAGAGTGTGCGTGGAAAGGTGAGAAATCTTTCTTCTTTTTAATTTACTTACATGCACATTTTACCATTTATATTTTCTCTTTTACTGTAAGTGGTTGTAGCAAGAATGGAGTTACTTGGTTTATCTGTAAAATAGATATCTTGGTTTATCTGTAAAATATCCTTACGCAACATGGAAGTTGCGTAAAATGACTCGACGTTGCCATGTGATACCTTTATAGAAGAGAAACAGCATAAACACCTTTAGTCATTAGTAACACTTTCTAACCTCTGTGTTTGGTTTTGTATATGTACCCAGGTGTTATGTTTTATTGAGAATTTAAATTTTGGATTTTCCCATTTGGGCAAGTAATGGAGTGGATATAGCCAATTTGTCAAGTAGCTTAGGCTTGTATACTGATTTACTTTAGGGTTTGCACGGATTCTTCTTCATGGATTTGCTTTTGGTAGGTGGAAATGTTAACTCACTTTCTATTCTCAGCTATGAGAATAGATAATTAACTTTTGTAAAAAGAAAGAGCCTTTCACATGGGGCCCATTTTTTTGTTTTTCTCTGTGTCACAGCCCACATGGATACAAATCTAGGAAACCGAGTCCTTGCTAAGATCCGTGGTACCTTCTGTGATACGAGTCCTTCCTTCAGAAAACATTCATTATACTGCATTTTAAAAGTCTTTTCAAGATCATGGGCAAAAGTCAATCGGCACTTGGGAGAATTTCTGCTGGCCTGCAGAGCAACTTTAGTGCAACCAGATAATAAACGGATGAGGTACATAGGTACCTTCCAGCACCGTTCAGTATGTAAAGAAATCATGCAAGAAAATTCAGTGACG